TATGGCTCATGGGGTTTAGGGTTTAGGGTTTTGGGTTTTGGGTTTTGGGCTTTGGGTTTAGGGTTTAGGGTTTAGGGTTTAGGGTTTAGGGTTTAGGGTTTAGGGCTTAGGGTAGGGTTTATGGTTTATAGTTGCCCCATGTACAGAGCTCTGCGAGCCTCTGGCTGACTCGCCGGTAAGACATGCTGAAGTGAGGAAGAGATAAAGATACGGAGTAAGAGCTCGAAAAGGACAGCGATCCTAACTCTAAACCCTCATAGAACCCTTGTAGAAGCTTCATAGAGCCTTCATGCTGAAACACCTAAAAGGCTTCTTGGGAAGGAGCCCTTGCAAGGAACCCTTTCTTATGAAGCTCGGAGACCTGCAGAGTGCTGTGCGCAGGCAAGAGCAGCAAGGGGGGCTACTACTGAGTGGATCGGAACAGCTTCCTCTTGCGTGTGCTCGGCCTTACTCCATCTTTTCAGCAATAAAGCTGTGTATGATTCAGATTCATTAGGGGGACACGTCAGGGAGCACGCGCTTGCTTGCACAGCGTCGCAGCCGGCTAAAGGCAACCGCCTTGCCGCAGCGATTGCTTGTCAATGGAGTTCTGTATTTCTTACAGTTGATGCCAGAAATCCTGCACCCAAGCCATCGAACCCCTTCGAGGAGAAATGTATCACGATGGAGGTCGGCTCGTGTAGGATTTGTGGATCAATGCCCTAGCAGCCCCTGTGGAAGGGATATTTGCTGAGATGGCTTCCACCTCAGACCCGATTCCCGTTTCTGAAGTCAGACACAGACCTGAGGACGGCCGCACAGCTCCCACAGCACGGTGCACGGTGCAAAAAAGCTGTCAGGCCTAGCTGTGATTGACGTCGACGGTGCCCCAAAACCCTAAACCTTCCTTTTTGGGGGTCGGAAGAATCAGCAACTATACGCCATTACAGTCGGACGAGCCCGAGGCTAGGGGCAAGGCTCAGGACTTGGAGTATAATGTACTTTCAAGATCCGTTTCTAACGATTGAGGCCCCTATATCAACTCCATCCCTCTCTGCCCTTAAACCCGAAACCTTAAACCCCAAAGCCCTAAACCTTAAAACCCTAAACCCTAAACTTTAAACCCTTTGCCCGAAGTCCCCTTTCTGCCCTGCTGGGAGGCGGTGGGCCACCCGTGGTCGTTGTTGTGGAGCCGCAGGACCCGAGTCACAGGAATTCCGCTCTCTCTACAACCCTAGAACCCTAGAGCCGCAAATCCATATCCACCCTAAACCCTAAATCCTAAACCCCAAAATCCATATCCATGTTGTGGAACTCTCTTAAACTGAGAGGCAGCCCTTAGGAAAAAATCCTTGAAGCAGCCCTTCAAGAAACCCTGGGAGCCTTCAGGAAACTTTGGAAGGAGCCCGTGATGCACGGTTTTGGGGGTTTAGGGTTTAGGGTTCCGGGTTTAGGGTTTATGTAGGGGTTTAGGGTTCAGGGCTTTGGGTTTAGGGGAGAATAGTAACCCTCCCATAGATGTAAATTTTCTGGGGCCAATGAGCTCAGCAACTACGAGGTGGAAGAGACGCGACCCTAAACCCTAAACCCTAAACCCTCAAGATCAAGTAAGAACGCTGCTAAACTCTACTACGCCGAAGCGCTGAATTCCAAGTCCTCAACCGTAAACTCTGGTTTAGGGTTTAGGGGTTCAGGGGTTCTGGTGGTGTAGGACTTACGTGTTTCGGGGTTTAGGGTTTAGGGCTTCAGGGGTTTGGGGGTTTAGTTTTGGGGGTTTAGGGCTTAGGGTTTAGGGGTTTAGGGTTCAGGGTTGTAAACCCTAACCATCCACCCAAAACTGCACACCCAAAAACGCTGCTGTGCGTTTTGATACATGTCCTTCCGTCAGCTTAGCATTCTGTAGTCGACTGGTGTCGGCATCTCTTGTCCAGGTCATGGTTCTCTTGTCCCCAAACCCCTAAACCCAAAACCCTAAACCCTAAACCCTATACCCTAAACCCTAAGCCCTAAACCCTAAACCCCTAAACCCTAAACCATCCTAAACCCTGAGCCTAAACCGCAAGTGCTAAAGCCGAAACCATGCTAGGGCTTTCTTCCATTCGGACCTTTCTTTTACCCTAATTTGGGTAGTTCTCTAAACTAGGGTCCCTTTTAAGTCCCAAATATAGTACGGCACCCTTATAAAAAGCACCCTAAAAGGGACCCTAGTTTAGAGAACTACCCATTTGAGAGCCTCCATCCAACCGTGTACAAGCCTTCAAAAACCCTATAGAATCGCTTCTGAAACCCTGCAGAACCCTTCTGAGACCCTGTGGAACCCCTTATGCCATCCTGCAGAACCCTTTCAAGACCCCATGAAGCCCTAAACCCTAAAC